ATTAACCCTGTTAGATCCTATCAGGCATATACACAATAAAAAACAAAAAAAGTGCGGATGCTGTAAATCAGGAACATAAACAAAGTTGCTGGAAAAGCTCAGCAGGTCTGACAGCATCTGTGAAGGAAAAAACAGAGTTAACGTTTCGGGACCAATGACCCTTCCTCAGAACCAATACACAATAAAGTTCACTGACCAAATCTGAATGTGGGGCTCCAGACCAACTTCCCTACCTCTCCAAGGTGGCTGCTGACCTGGAGAGTTTACAACAGGTCCAGAACAATGGAACATTATCTTAAAATTGGATGTGACCATTCAAGGATGGCATCAGAAACCAGTTCTACAGACCAGTGGAAATCTGGAACTCCCTCCCTTAAAATCTATTATAGTTCTGTCAGTTGACTGAGGTTGGGAAGTATTTTTCGGTCAAGTCGTATTACGGGTTCTGAAAGCAAGAGCTGGAGTTAAGATACTGATCAATTGTTTAATTGAATGGCAGAGCTGACCAAAGGGGAGAAATGGTTTTCTTTTGTTTTGATGCTCCAGGCATCGAGGATGTGGGACAGGCTTGCGAGACCAGCTCTCCTTTCTCTGCCCGTCATTTTCACAATGATTTTATATTCCTTCTCCCCACTCAGCTTCAAGTGTTGACTGCCAGTAACCATGCCAATGCCAAATGCCACTCAAAATCACAAAAATTAAACACTCAACTCGTGCATTCATAAACGTTCCAGTGCTGAGCGATTGAAAAATAAGAAGGACATGAGAAACTGGGCCACCTTTGCCTTGAACGAAAGTAATAAAGAAGGACAAAGTCGAAGCTGCAGGGTCAATGCTAACTTCTTGTGTATTCTGATTTTCATCACACCACTACTGGTGGCTGTTCCTTCTGTCACCCAGACCCAAAGCTCTGATATCCCTTCCATAAATCTCTCTTCTCTTCTAGCTCTTGCTTTTCCTTCAAGATGCTCCTTAAAATCCTTTTCCAACCAAGCTTTTGGTCACTTGTCGTAACATCTCCATTTGCGGTACAATGCTCAATTTTGTTTGATATCACTATTGTGAAATGCTTTGGATGCTTTACTGTGTTAAAGGCAGTGAACAAATGCCAGTTGCTCATTTTACAATCCACCTGACTGCTCTTGCCCAGTATTACCCTGTTAAGTATCATGAGTAATCCTTCGCACTCAAGCACAGGATGACCTCGGTCATATTTTCCTTCCATCAGCATGTGTACACATTTTACAAGCCAACTTTATGAAGGGGCAGATTCTTGGCACCAAATCAGGGCCCAGCACCTTACACAGGAATGCATTGATACAAGTAACCCAACTTACTAGTTTAATGGATTTGTCACCTAAACTGCCAAAGGCCTTTGTTAAAAAAAAATGAATGATCAAAGTCCAATGATGGATTCTAAATTGTTCACATCAAAGACAGCCTCTAACAAGCTGTAAATGTCTTATACTGTAGCTAATTTAAAGGCATATCAGTTCCGTCAAAGTAGTGGGCAGATTTTTAAAAGCTTCAAATCAGAGTTGGATGCTAATTTGTATTAGAATCACTGCATTCTGGTGAGTCACTAGGCTGACCTCACCAGGTTACTTGCCTGCAATACCATAACATGAAACTGTTCTCTTCATTCTTTTTGTAATGAGACAAGTTTTTGATATACCAAGAAAGTCATTTATTAGAACAGTTGTGACGTTGTGTTTCCTACTTCTCCCACACAACGAACAAAATTAATGCTGAAAACACTCAGACTAGTAGGTGACCTTAAAATATTTTATGGAGGACTAAATGTGATGTTGGAAAGACTATTTAATCAACCCTATTCATTGTAATTTAGGTACAGGGTCTTTGCTCCTATTCCAGACTAATTTCTCCTCTGATTTTCCGTCTATTAGCTCAGGAAGTTTGTATAGGGCTCAGGCACCCTCTAACGTCTCACTCCAGTGGTACCCTTTGTGCTTAATGTAGCTAGGAAATGTCAATCAACTATTGGTTGTAATTAGTGGTAGCGATGATGACACAGACTGGATGGGCCGAAGGACTCTTTCTGTTCTGTATGAATCTATAAATCTCCGAGTTCGACTGTAATGGGCTGAGCGGAATCCGATCCTGTTGTCACTGTAGACTCAGATATAGGGCTCTTGGATCTCTGTCTGTCAGCCAGGTTCTCCCTGCTGGTGCTTTCCATCATGCTGTGCGCCAGGGGGTAGAAAAATGGCTGCAGTCCCACTCAGAGTGAGCAGGGTAAGTGACCTGACTTGTATGGGAGGGGCTGCAATGACCACTGATCATAGGATTTTTAAACGGATAGAGCATTCCTCACAGTCCCATGTGCCGTACAGACCATCCCCTGACCATCCTGCAGCGTTGACCCTCTCTGTATGTTGCATCTCACTGACCTAGCCACTGACATGCAACTCGCTGACATTCACACCTTTGCGCACAGAGGGAGCTGAACGAAGAGAACCAAAAGTGTCAGTATGACCCAAAGCCATGTTTCCACATTGCTCTCCCTGCTTCTAGATGGTAGAGTAGGCTCCATCCATTGAACCCTGTCTGTAGCCATGAAATATGATGCTGAATGGTGTAACAATGTGTTTCTGGCCTGTACACCGTTAAAACACAATCTTTATATGTAGTGCCACCAAAGTGACCTCAATAGGTTCTTCTTCTTCCTCCCACTACGTCACAGTTTAGTCCCTTGTTCCATAGGCGAGGGGGCCTGCTTAGCGGTGGGGTTGGTTGACCCTGGAGATTTAGTGATCTGGGGCAGGGAGGTTGTGCCTACACATACTGAGGATCTTCTTGCCAGAGTTAAGTTGAGTGTCCTCGACCTGAATTTCCAAGGGTCAGAGACAGGCAGGTAGGGTGGAGTCGGAGACCACAGCCATCTACAGAGTGTTCCTGTGAGTCTGTGTCCGTGTGTGTGTGTGTGTATATGCGTGGAATCACTGCCTTGTCTCCAAGTGAGAAACCTGGGTAGGGGTAAAGGTTTGCCATGACTATGGTTTCAGTCCCGAGGAACAATGGCCAGGACAATGGAGTGCAGGTTTGTGTGCACATCCTCAGTCAATGAAGACTCTGGGCCTGGTTCTCCATGGCAGCTGCTAATCTACACATGGAGGCAGCAAGATGGTCAAGGCACTGCTTCAATTCCTGGGCAATGACGGCCACTGTGTCCTATGTACCTGTCTGTCACTGCTACTGTGCACTCCATTCTGCCCTCTTCTGACCCAAGCTCAGTGGATGCATCGTCTCTGGCAGTCCTCCGAGCGTCAGGGGCCCAGGCTGTTTCTTCCTTGACCTGTATCAGAATGGTTGCAAAGAGATGCTTGTCCTCAGAGGTCAAGGAAAATGGCTTCTGCAGAAGCTGGGTATTTCTCCAGTAAGAACCAACAGAGTGACAGCACTGCAATCACTGATTCAAAGTGATGTGCAATGAGTGAGGCTGATGGCTGGGTTAGTGGGACCAGGCACATGACCTTGTTCTACCCTGTTGTGGGCTGCCTCATCGTGTAATAGGAGGAGGGCATTGTTGAGTGAGATGGCAGCGAGTGCCACGACTGCCAGTGCATGTGCATGTGGGGGAAGGGGTTCAGAGGTAGCATAAGGGGACATGCAGGGGTAGTGGTGTGGGAGGTTGGGGGGAGAATAGAATGACTGAGGGAAGGCGTTGCACGTGATCATGGGAGCATGAGCCTCGGTGGGAGGTGGGCGCACTTGCAATGATACAGTGAATGAGAGCGAGCAAAGAATGGAGCGCTTAGCCTGGCAGAGTGAAGAAGATCATTGACCTTCTTATGGCACTGCTGGCTCTTCCACCACAGCCTGGAGATGGGACCGACCTGGTTGGCACCTTGGACCAAGTTGGCAGGGTCTACCAATGTGGCCTTGTCCCCTGGTCCTCCGGGAAGAGGACTTCTCTCCTTGGCACTACTCTGCCCACTGGGGCCTCCAGGCCCACTCTTGGTGGATCGTTGTGCCATCTTTTCTTCCTTTGTCATGATCTGACTCTGCCTTGCGAGAAGAAGGGCTAGCTTTGGAATGCCATTGCTTGTCTGGGAGCGCCACAGCCTTTCAAAGACAAAAGGGGTGCCAGTCTAGATATCCACCACGTGGTGAGTTGTTCCAGCAAAGGCATATGGTACAATGGACAGGAAATTAGACACTACAGAAGCAATAGGGTTGGGGATAGTGCATCAGTGGAGCAGGTATGGTAAGATTTGGTGTCAAAGTGTGACAAATAACCTTCCAAATAACTCAACAAAACTTAGACTTAGCTGCAAAAAGACTAAGATTCAGGCCTCTTTCTCCTTTCTCCCTCATGTATTTATCTAACTTTCCCATGCTTTTCACTTTAACTGCTCTGGCTAATACTCTTGAATAGGAGATGTGGAGATTAAGAACGAGACTCCACATCCTCTGCTATATTACTAATACTTATCTGAAGAAAACCATTGGTCCCAAAGACCATAGTAAAACAAAAACACAGTAACTTGCTAGTTAGGGCTGTTATAATGCCCAAAGAATTTGCTTTCAAGCCGTGCATGATTGTTGACAACCAATGGATATCAGCTATTTGAAAGTTAATGAAGAAATATTAGTAGATTCTTAGCCATCTAACTATACTGCGTGCCACAGAAATCTACACCTCCCCGACACAAATTAATACTTGATCTCTCACTTGCTGTCCATCTTTTATTGATTAATTTTGCTTCTATCCAAACCTTAAATAAAACTTCCCTGTAGGTATCCTCCATCCCCTTTTAGTTGTGTTTACATTCGCGAGTAACAAGCCCAGGGTATTCAACATACCTTTTATTTTTTATTTACATACATGGGTGCATTAACAAAACTCTATTTTCAACACAGTCTTAATATTCAGGCAGTTCGCCAGACCATGGAATGTCTGCTATCTTTAGAAATCCCATTTGCTGTTGTTACCCAGTCTATAATTTAAATCAATCTCGAGGCTTAAAAGGTGAAATATGAGACGCACATTTTCAGCTTGGCGAACAAAGGGCAAAGAGTTTAGCATAAAGAGGTTGGGTGGTCTCAGCTCAGATCAGCCACCGCACACTTCTGCTTTATTCTGGCTGTAGCCCTGGGTGTCCATTCCAGCTGACTTCAATAACTCATCTTTTTTTGTGTTGTTTTCTTCAAGAAGCAGAAGAAATAGTAATTAAAGAGCACGCAAGGTTTAAGCACACACAACCTTATAATCGCAGAATGAGTAGAATCTCATTCTCAACAACAAAAGCAGGATTTCATACCCACTCCTGATCCACTGCACACCCAGTACAGATCTGTCCTTTACCCATTGTTGATCCATCACACCCTCAACAAAAGCATTGCACACATGGCCGTATTCCATTGAGCATTCATATATGAACAGTGTTTCCAATTTTACATGTACAATCTCACAGTTAATATGGATCATGCTCTCTCCCCTAGTCTATCCAGTTAACAATTACAGCTTGGTTGAGTGAATCAACCTAACAGCTCAAAGCTGAACTTCCAGTTGCAAATGGTAATGCAAAATCAAGGAGCTATTCCAAATGCAACCATAAACAACTTTACCAAATAAGAAAGTACAGCTTGTTATGAAACCTAACGTCACATAACATGTAAGAAGCAACTGTGTTATCTTTAGTTTGGTCGCTTTATGAAAGATTTTGTAACTGTTTCTCTGAAGCCAAACTTGATTTAACGTTCGAAAAGTGAGTACATTTAGCATAGATTATAAATTGCAAGGTTTCCTGGATCTATTGGATCTCCCATTGTAAAGATGGGCAAAAATTGTAAATGACTTTGTCTGTGCTGGCACAACCTGAGTGGAAAATATTAACATGGCTTAGAATGGAATTATTGATTCATTCAGCACCAGAGGGAGGTTTAACATCCATTGTGCCTGCAGCACATTCATTTTCTTTTGTTTCATGAGCTTCATGAATGAAGTGCAAAATGTGAGCCATATGATTTGAGAAGGGCCCTGGCTGAAGCTTCAACCTGTGTTCAGTTAGTTAGCTTCGTGGAGGCATGAAGAATGGGTCCCATGGCACGTATGGGCCAATACCCAAA